GTGCTGGTCAGCATACAGCAGATAGGAAGCCACTGGCACAAGGCCAGGCGGCTGGATTATCCAAACATGCTTCTAAGCTTTTAGTGCCCGTGCCAGTCCCCTCTCTGTTTTAAATAGCCAGGTGCTATAGTTAATGCTGGTTGTTGCAGGAGGAGCTGGGGGGAAGGGTTCTTTCCACTCACCCCAAACCCTCCTACAGCCCATCCCACACAAAGGGCTGAATGCAAGTAAAGGTCCAAGTTAACAGTTCTGTAGTCAGGAGAGCAGAGAAGTAGGATTTTAAAAAAAAAATTTTCCAATAAATGCATAAAGGGATTTGTGGCACTTGCACAACAAATGCACACTTCTCATTTTCATGTTTGCATAATCAATCATCTTGACTGCAGAAAGAACAGCCCACAACTACAGACACCCCTTCCCCAAAGTAAAAACATGATTTAACAAGAGGTGTGGAGAATGTCAGTTCTTCCACACCATCTCTTAGGGAGGTGAGGCCACATTACATTGGAGAAGATTTTAGCAAGTATGTCAGGCACTGGAAGATTGCAAATGCTAGGTACCCTTAGCATTTCTGGAATTCATATGGTTACAGGGAGGGAAATACAGAGTCTCTAGAATTACATTACTGTTAATCTAAGCAAATGCTATCAGATTTTTCTTTGTTTCTAGATCTCAAGGGCCAGGTGTGTAGGACCCCAAGGGAATGGGTTAATGGCAGATGAGCTTGAGTCACCTACACATGCTCCGTGTGCTTCTCATCCAGTCCACCTGCTAAAGAGAAGGAATGCTTTACTCTTACCCCCTGAAGCAAATGAGGATTGGACATTATATTTTTTTCAGGGATACTTTTTGCTTCAAATATACTGTTTAAAACCTGTGTCTGTTGTGTTTTTAACCCAGTTCCAACCCATTCCACAGCCTGTTTTCATATCAGATACTATTTTATGCTCAAAAATATGCAGCTGCGGACAAAAAGGGCACCCTGCTGGGCAAACACATGGGTTACAGGACAAGCAGGGTAAGAAGGTTTTAGAAGGAATGGAGTGGACAGCAAATAATTCTGGGCAGAGACCTGAGTGAAATAAGGGGATTAGCATGGTTGGTGTGTGGAGAGAAAGGTGGGGAATAGACTTTGAAGTGAGAGAGATGGCAAGTTCAAAGGGCTTGAGGTAAGGTTATGCTTAATTTGGAAGACCAGCAAGAGGACCAAAGATGCTAATGGAATGAGCAAGGAAAATAGTAGGATATGGAGAAACTTGAGCTGGGTCTAATGTAAGAAACTGCTGGAGAGGTTGTTTGAATAGAGAATCCACAGTCTGACTACTTTTCTGTTTTCAGGGGAAATCAGGCAAATATGGAAATAAGGATACCAAATAGTAAGTTACTGTTGACAGTGATGGCCACTAGGATCAAGTAGTTAAAAGTCACTGTTTTGAAGGGAGAACCAGGAAGTTGGGAAGGCCTTGGGAATTAAGGGTTCAATGTGATACTGGGAGATTGAGCCCTGTCCCACCTCCAAGGAGAGAAAGATACATCAGCCTCCGTTTTTACTAGTCTGAAGCTCAGGGAAGAGCCAGCTGGTATGTGAACATGGTGAATGTTGGCCTAGAGCAGCAGGTGTTTGAGTGAAGGATCAGGGATGATTAAACCTGCGACCCAAGAGCCCCGCGTGCTGACAAAGTTACAGAGGTGACGGAGGTGCAGGATCTGTGCTGACTGTGTCTGTTTTCTTAGCCAAAGAAAACAGCAAACTCATCCATCTCATCTGAGGGGTGGGGAGACGTGCTCTGTGAACCAGTCCTGGGGTAAATGTAGCAGGAGACTCATGCCAACTGAGGACTCACTTATAGTTACTGACTATTAACGGTAGAACCAGGGCTGTGAACACAGTTTGGGGTTTCCTTTTAACCATGTTCAGCAAGCAGCACGGGTGGGCCATGGATTAGGTCCATCAATGATGTATTAGCCTGGTCAGATTGTGCGATTCCAGTGAGGACTGAGAGGACATAATGAGGTGATGTGCAGGGTGGTGTGTGTGCTGTCATAGACCATGGAACTGAAGTTGGGAGAGAATGGACGTAAGGACATGTGGGATGTGGAGAGCAAGATAAAGATAGTGGTCATAATAGGTGGCCTTCCCCAGTGAAAGGAAGCTTGCTAGAGACTGAGCGCAGGAACTGTGAAGTTCAGAGAGGATGGTCAGACCACACGCAGCCTTCTTATAATAGAGGAATGGGAGTGGTACAGATATTGGTAGTCAGGTCAATGGTTGACCCGGGCATGGGTGCCTTGACTCTGCAGGATAAAGGCATTGAAGAGGAAAAGCTCCAGAAACTGAGAGAGGCCAAGAAAATTAGAAGGTTCCTCAGACTCCGTTATGGAATTATCTGAATCATAGCAGGGATTAGGATAAAGATGGAGGAGCAATGAGCTTGGTGGCTGGGGCAATCAGGAAATTAGAGGTAACCCAAAGCTGTGGGAGATTGGAGAAGGGCATGGGCATCGTCATGGGGTAGGGTTTGAGAGGCAATGAAGGAAGGCTGAAGAGCCTACAACCATGTTAAGTGCCCATGCCAAGGGTAGGTTTTTAGGCAGGCAAGGAGAGAAGGCAGACCTGTGAGGATAGCCGCAGACCCACCCACAGTCAGTTTTGGCTAGATCGAGAACACCAAGGGGCTTGGCTGGCACTGGTTGGCTCACACCTGTAATCCTAGCTACTCAGGAGGCTGAGGTCTGAGGATCATGATTCAAAGCCAGCCAGGACAGAAAGCCAATGAGACTCTTAACCTCAAATTAAACACCAAAAGAGCTAGAAGTAAAGCTGTGTGGCTCAAGTGGTAGAGTGCTAGCTTTGCACATAAAAGCTCAAGGATCGATAGGAAATGGAATCACTACCTGACTCATGTAACTGTAACGCTACTATACAGTATTCTTACAATAAAAATGTATTAATTACCTATATGTATAATGCTTCCTTTATGGCCTGTTTTAATAATCAATAATTCTGTGGTACTACTATTATTACTGTACTTTTACAAATAAAGTACAATGAAAATGTCCTTCACCATAAATTAAGTGGAATGATGAAAATGGTAAAAATGATGCCAAGTTTATTCAGTTATCCAGTATTGGTACAGAGATGCACTATGGGTTTAAATTGTTAATCCTTTCCTCCTTTTTGACCAAAATGTAGAAAAGCAGTAACTTGTAATCAACAATTACTTGCTACATGTTTTTTTTTTAATAAATGCTGTTTTTAAAATGGGAAGAATCGGATTGGGTGACACTGTTAAAAAAGAAATGTACTCATTACTTATGCAATCGTATTTCCTCTGCATCACCTTTACAATAACAATAAAAATATTTTTTAAATGCGGGGGAGGGAAGCTCAGGGACAGGCTTAGGTCCTGAGTTCAAACTCTGTGACCAACATACACAAAGGCACCAAGGGAACTAACTTTTGCCCCAGCACAGAAAGATTGGAGAGTGACGCTGGCTGGGGGCTGAGGGATGGAGGTGCATGAATTGGGGGTGGGAGGGAGGTCCTGTGAAATAATAAAGATGAAAAACCTTCTGTAGATGTGGTGGTGATAGTTGCACAATAGTACAAATACACTTCATACCACCCAGCTGTACACTTACGCTGGCCATCTTATGTTGTATGTCTTCCTCTAACTTAAAAGAAAAGAAAGGTCAGAGGACAGGATGAGAAGGAAGGAAGCTGTAGGCCTGAGAGTCCCAAGGATTCAATGGAAGGCAGTTGAGTCAGTGCAGAGGCTGAGTTGTAGAAGGTGGAGGGAAGCCTCTCTGGCTTTGTGTGTAGGCAGAGGGTCGATCTCTGGGGTCCCTGCTCTGAGTGCTGGGGTAGGGAGGTGGTCTTCCTTGGGGCTCAAGGAACAGGAGGGTTCTCTGTTACTCCACATCTGTTTCCCCAGAACCTGGCCCAGTGCCTGGTGTGCAGAAGACATGAATGTCTGTTTGAGTGGTCAAAAATAAGTTCTATCCAAAGAAAAAACACCAAGTGAGAATTTAATGGCCTTGCTGATAATCCAAACAAATTTCCCTCTAAAGTGATGAAGCTAGACTTGGTCTCTGGAGGAGAAAGGATTTTTGGCAGAGGTGCAAAAGAACTTATTGCGAAAGCAGAGTTTTAGACTGGAAAAAATAAAATCATAAACAGAGAGCTACGAGTGTATAACAGAGTTGCTTAAATTGAAATACTTTCCTACCTATGTAAACGATTATATAAATGGAAAAGTTGTTATGTGGAAATGGATTATCTTATTCTTTTGCTAAATAAGAAGGTTATTAGTTTCATAAAATACTCTTTTACATTGAGTTTTGTGCATTTTGTTTTTCCCCTGAAAGCCAAGATGGGCCAAGAGCCAATGATGGCTCACACCTATATGTTGCTCAAGAAGTTGAGATCTAAGCTGGACCCCAGTGGCTCATGCCACTCAGGAGGCCGAGATCTGAGGATCACGGTTCAAAGCCAGGCTGGGCTGGAAAGTCCATGAGACTTACCTCCAATAAACCACCAGAAAACCAGAAGCGGCACTATGGCTCAAGTGGCAGACCCTTAGCTTTGAGCTGAAGAACTAAGGGATAGTGACCAGGCCCAGAATTCAAGCCCCATGACTGACAGGGTAAGGGGCGGGGAAAGCAGTTAAGATCTGAGGGTCACAGTTCAAAGCCATCCAAGACAGGGAAGTCCATGAGACTCTTTATCTCCCATTAGCCACCAAAAAGCCAGAACTGGAGCTGTGGCTCAAATGGTAGAGCACCAGCCTTGAGCAAAAAGCTAAGGGACAGTGCCCAGGCCCTGTGTTCAAGCCCCAGGACTGCAACACACACACAAAAATGTCAAGGGACGCTGCCTGTGGAGATGTGTATTTTCTGGCAACAAGCCAGGAAAGCACTGGCTTGTGGTCATCTCATGTTGCAAAACATGTTCTGCAGCTACCAGACCATTGTCATGTCCCTTCTTCTTGTCGTTTTAGTGACAGCTATATTGTGCGTGTCAAGGCTGTGGTTATGACCAGAGATGACTCCAGCGGGGGATGGTTCCCACAGGAAGGAGGCGGGATCAGTCGTGTTGGGGTGTGTAAGGTCATGCACCCCGAAGGCAGTGGACGCAGCGGCTTCCTCATCCATGGTGAACGACAGAAAGACAAACTGGTAATGGTAGACACACAACTCATGTTCACCAGTAGTAGTGACTGACTTCTCTATGTTAAGCTATATCCCTCTTCCCATTGGTATTTTGTATTTCTCTCTGCAGTTCAGACTTCTGCAAAAACAAAACAAAACAAAAAACCTTTACAAATGTACTCTGGAGCTGCAGCCAGATTTTAAAACAAAGCCAACACCTTTCCAACAAAATCTCTAATGACCACACACCATGCAGCACACATGCTTACAAGTGTATTGAGCAATCAAGTTTGCTTCCTGGATTCATCAAGATGTATTTCTTTCTGACTTTGTTACAAGATATTTAACACAAAAGGGGGGTGTTCTTATTATGGCGAGTCACATAATGCCACTGAACTATGAAGCCAGAATTTTTTAAATGTAGGGTTTGTTCCTGGAGCTTTGCCATTGAACTTTGGATGATAGATGGTAAAAGTGTAAAGGCAGAGTCAGCTGACTTTTGGCTCCTTTTATGTGTTTATCCAAAGGGTACTGTAGCTTTTACCTTGTAAATAATGAGTACAACATGTTTGGAAAAAGAAAGTAACAAAAAGGAGTATCACACATCTATAAATAATTATACATGTTTATAAATAAATACTTGGAAAGTAATTATTTTCTCACAAGAGTCAGGGATTGTGAGTTCATAACTTGGACAGCCACTTCTGTGTTGTTGACAGAATCTCTGATAGGAGGAAAATTAGAAGACACAAGTCTGTTTTATTTTGTTGTGATTCTTACTCACATCCATGTATTTTTGTGGTGCTGAGAATTGAACCCAGGACCTCATATACTAAGCAGACATCCCATTTGAGACTCATAAACCTATCTGTTGAGTCTTATGTATTAAGTGCAAATTTTTTTTCACTGATTATCTGAAAAAGTTACTGGATAACACAGAACAATTTGTAAGTGTGATGTACAAATAACAGAAATGCCATTTTCACACCCAATCAATTTCTGAAAATTCAAAGGGAGAAATGCAGCTAATTTTAAAAAATATCTTTTCAGGAAATTCCCTACATAACAGTCAAATCATCAAAACATTTTTATTTATGAGATTTTTTCAATAAAAGCAGTATAATCACACTATCAAGAAAAGGGAAATTAACCACCCTTCATCTTGCTTTTTCTCTGTGTTAAATATAGCCTCAGCCCCTCAGTTATGCTCCATATTTGTATGTCTCCTACAACCTGTATTGTAATTGAGGAATCAAAGATTCTTTGCTCTTGGTGACCCATTTGGAGGCCTGGAACCAGTATTTGATACCAGTGATTTCTAAATTAAACTAGAGCCACCTGTGCACAACCAACTTTGGGTCTTTAATACAGGTTTCCAACTCTTGTTAATGTTTTTATTTTTACTTGTCTATAATTGAATTTGTCGACAAATTTACTTCTTTTTTTAAAAATTTTTTATTGTAAAGATACTATACAGAGGATTACAGTTACATGAGCAAGGTAATGAGTACACTTCCTATTGAGCATTGTTACCCCCTCCATTGTTTTCCCCCTACCATCCCTTCCCTCCCTACCTTCCCCGAGGTTCTTTTTTTGTGTGTGTGTGATTAAGTGATTACATAATTTCCCAAATTTCACAGTATTGTGGAATAATGATGCTCATTTAAAGTCACAAGTTCACTCTAACTTTCCTGGAGCAAATTGTCTATCACAGTCTATATATAACATATAACGGTGTTCACATATACACCATACATGTGATCAGTAGCATGGGGATATTTAGTAGTGGTTTGACCAGATGCGTGGGAGTTCTTTGTTTCTTAAGTCCTGTTAATTGACAAATTTACTTCTTATGGATTCATTTTACTGTGCTAGGGAATTGAATCCAGGGTTTTGCACATACATGATTGGCAAGCTCTCTACCACTGAGCCACATCCCCCCCAGCCCCTGTAACCATCTTTGTATTGTTTCTTATACTCTTACATTCTCATAAGAACATTCCCATGTTGCTGATAGCAATGTGATCCTCCATTGTTCATTTGACCATATCCTTCATTTCATGTACTAAGATAATTTTCTTATGTATTTTTTCATTTAAATTCATTCATTTATTTACTTAGTTAGTGCTGGTCCCAGGGCTTGAACTCAGACCCTCATGCTCTGACCTGTTGGTTGTTTTTTTTGTTGTTGTTGTTCATGGCTGGTGGTTTGTTATTTAAGCCACTACTCTACTTCTGTCATTTTGCTTGTTAATTGGAGAAAAGAGTCTCTAGAGGGCTGGGAATGTGGCTTAGTTGTAGAGTGCTTGCTTAGCATGCATGAAGCCCTGGATTCAATTCCTCAGCACCACATAAACAGAAAAAGCCAGAAGTGGATCAAGTGATAGAGTGCTGGCCTTGAGCAAAAGAAGCTCAGGGACAGTGGCTAGGCCCTGAGTTTAAGCCCCAGGACTACTCCCTCCCCCCCCCCAAAAAAAATCTCTTTGTCTGCCCTGGTTGGCTTTAAATCATGATCCTCACAACTCCACCTCCTGAGTAGTTAGGACTATAGGCCTAATTACTTTTTGCCCTTCAACCCCACTGTTACAAAGAAATACCCTCATTTATTGACACTTTTTGGAATAATTTCAAGGGTTTAAATTTTTTTCCCCTTGTTTGTCAGTTGTGGGGCTTGAACTCTGGGCCTGGGCACTGTCCCTCAGCTCTTCCAGCTCAAGGCTAGCGCTCTACCACTTGAGCCATATGCCACTTCCAGTTTCCTGGTGGTTAATTGGAGATAAGAAAGAGTCTCTTGGACTTTTCCTGCCTGGGCTAGCTTTGAACCAAGATCCTCAGATCTCGGCCTCCTGAGTAGCTAAGATTGGAGGCATGAGCCACTTATGCCCAGCTCAAGGGGTTAAATTTTTTATAACTTCAGAAAGAAGTTATAGAAAGGGACTGCTACTAACATGCAAGCCTTTTCCTTTTTTTTTTTATTTTTTTGGTCAGTCGTGGGGCTTGAACTCTGGGCTTGGGCGCTATCCCTCAGCTCTTCAGCTAAAGGCGAGCGCTCTACTGCTTGAGCCACAGTGGTTTTTCAATTCCCTAGCACAGTAAGCCACTTCCGGTTTTCTAGTGATTTATTGGAGATAAGAATCTCACGGATTTCCTTGCCCAGGCTGGCTTTGAACTGTGATCCTCAGATCTCAGCCTCCTGAGTAGCTAGGATTACAGGTATGAGCCACCGGCACCCGGCCTAAAACTTTTCTTTAACACATGTATATTTTAAATCTTTTTCAGTTTGATAGAATAACAGTAACATAATTATTTACTAATTAACTGAAATGGTTTTCTCTTTGATAAAGTTATATCTGAATTTATCTGTTAGTGTCTTTTGTATAGACGCTGATTAAGGGCTTTAATAATGATATAATCTCCATTTGCCATATTTGCTACAAATAGACTTTACTAATTTACTTGATCCTACTTTTTTGTCTTTAATTTTTCTGTGTTAGCAAATTATCTCCAGTGAAGGGTTATGTATATATAGAGCTATTTTTTTCCTGGTATTTCTGTGGTTTGTCATAGAATATATCAACCTAAAATAGCCCTTTAAGATTATCTAGCCCAGCCTCTTAATTTTACATATGCATTTATGAACTAATGTCTTACCAGTGACTTGTATATAGTAATTACAGACTCTGCTTTGTTCAAGGTCCTTGACAATAAATAACCTCAGTAACATTCCTGCACCATTCTGAAAGAGGAAGATATTATCTCCACACTGTAATAGGAGCTGAGTTCTAAAAGACTCTTCATGCCGGGCACTGGTGGCTCACACCAAACTACTCAAGAGATTGACATCGAGGTTCATGGTTCGAAGCCAGTCTGGGCAGGAAAGTCCATGAGACTCATCTCCAATTAACCACCAGAAAACCGAAAGTGGCACTGTGGCTCAAAGTAGTAGAGAACTAACCTTGAGCAAAACAGCTCAGGGACAGTGTCCAGGCTCCGAGTTCAAGCCCCACGATGGACTCCCCCCCCCAAAAAAAAAAAAGTTGTTTGTTTCCCATGTCTGGGAAATGTAGTCAGTGGTGGAGCCAGTACTGGGACCTATTTGTGTGGGTGTGGGTGTGTGACAGTCCTGGGGCTTGAATTCAGGGGCCTGGGCACTGTCACTTAGCTTTTCCTCTCATAGCTAGCACTCTACCACTTGGCCATAGCTTTTGGTGGTTAATTAGAGATAAGACTCCTGCAGGGAGCTGGCTTTGAACCATGATCCTTAGATAGCAACTTTCCTGAATAGCTAGGATTACAAGTGTGAGCCTGACTGGAACCAGTTTCTTTATGAAACCAAAGCCCAACCCTTCTTAGTAACTCTGCCTACCAAGACAGTTGCAGTTCCGTGCCTGCCCTTGCAGAGTGTGGGCCAGCTTCTGTTGATTGTTGTTGTATAGGACCGTGCTGGTCTCAAAGTGTGCCTCTTCCCTTTTCCATGTTTTTCCATTCTTCTTTCTGCCCCTTCACCCATCCACTGGTAATTCAGTTACATACCTGTACACCCAGTTGAATTTCGTCTTTACAACCCTTGTCTATTTCAGTGTGTGGAAAATTCTGCATTTCTGTCTCTACACAACACTGCCATTACTATATATACACATACCTTTGGGGCCCAGTGGCTTCTGTTTTTCCTCCTACACTCTCATAAGACAGTAATTCTGTGGGCCGGAGCATAGGCCCCCCATGTGGGAGCTCTGCTGAAGGGTGAGTCGTAGAAGAAGGCCCCTCTTACAGGTGGAATGGCAGGGAGAGTGTGCAGGTCATTGCTAGGACACATTGGATGGTGCCAGAGTTCCCCATATTCTCTCTAAGGCACAAGTGCAAGTAGTTCTTTTTCAGAGTAGTAAGTACAGTTTCCCAACTCAATGTGTTTTGGTGTGGTTTGTTTCATTGTTGCTATGAGACAATAGGCATGCTCTCCAGATGCCAATTCATTCACAAGTAGTTTCTTCAGGTGCATTTTGGTTAGATGGAGACAATTAAGTTTT